TGGGACGACCCCAAAACTGATGCGCGCGTGCGAATAAAAAAAAAAGTTTTGCAAAAAAAAAAGTTGTTTTCATTATGAAATCTACGTGGTCATGAGGGTTGAGCAAATGGCACAGAATATGGTTTGGCGAATAATCTAGTCTTCAAGTTCATTTCTTTACAATTTCGTCTTTTTTCGTTTGATTTTGGCATTCTACGACATTTGTATAGTTTTTATCAATTTTTTTTGTAACTTATGGTATATTTTTGCTCATTTTGCAACTGTTTTGTACGATTTACAGTATGGTTGAAAACTTTTTTTTGGAAACGGCCGAAAATTCATGCGCGCGCGGATGTCATCCATATAATCAAATCAACATGGCCTAATTATGCAGATGTGTTTGACATTTCATGCTATCGTAATAATTGAGTATAAGTTGTAGATATTCGACATATTCCATGCACTTAATGTGACATGCCAGTCGATATTCAATAAAATCTGAATCTGAATCTGATACCTGAGATTTCAAATCTGCCGTTTTAGGGCGTATACGTGCGGGCTAGTTCCTCGGCTTCAGGGCCAACATGTCCCCAAGGAAATTTTAAAACAGACACCCTGAGTTAGACCCTGAGAACACTAGCTAATTCAGGGTATCGCCTCGATTGCTACGTGTCTGACATCCCGGTCAGCGATATTTAACTGTGATCAAGGACGTTCCTATATAATGTAATCTCCAAGCAGATCTTTCCGGTGGCTGCAAAGACAGTATCAAAAGAGAGCCCGATAAAAAAACGCATAAAACACGCCGAAAATAACCCGAAGCCTACACCACTGCTTGGAGACTATACTATATGTACTAGTATATAATGCCCGGTCATCATCTATCACCGAACACATAACAACTTCCTCTTTGCTAGGGAACAACAAAGTGTTATACAAACACAATCTGGTAAGGTTTACAGCGCACTAGAACTGGAGAACCACTGTGTCGATGACTTTCTGTAATCATATCGCTGATACCAACGGTGAAGTACAAGGTAACGGATACTAGTAGCCTCCACCAGGCCTTTCTACGGGAATACGGATCGTAGAATTCGACAAAAAAGAGAGTAAAATTTGCCAGGGGAGTCCGGCCACGGGGAGGTAGTTTCTTTGCGCGGCCAGTCAAACCTAGAAGGCGGCCAAACTCCCCTGGCAAATATTCTCCTACATATAGCCAGCGTAGTTAGTCTGGTAGAGACTAGAACGGATATAGCCTCCATACCATGCCAAAAACTGGGGGTTTTGGGGGTCTTCAGGGTCTTTGGGATCTTTTATGTGCTATTTTCTGATTGCATATAGACAACATAGCCGGCCTGGTTAAATTACCCCCTGTTTTTAGAACTGGGCTGATCAGAAAACAGCCGAAGACCACCAAACCCTCAGTTCTATAAGCCTGCTACGGAGGCTAAACGGATATAGCTTACCGCAAGAACGCATTCAACAACGAAGGTACAGCATTGACAGAGCCTAACTTCACACAGTACTGCACAGTCAAGGTTGGCATTTCCGCTGTTGACGTTGGCCAAATACTACAGTTAATGATTTGCGAAAGAGAATTAGTCGGTCAAGGAAAGTTCAGCTTAACTCAATACGGAGCCATTTAACTTCTTCAGAAAAGTTTTAGGCCAGTTCTACCAGTCTGCTGAGGACTAAACGTACTAATAAAGGATTCTTACCAAAAAGGCGATCGCAGTTTTACAGTATTTCGTATGTATGTCACCCTTCCACTAGGCGTCTCCCCAAATCACGACTAATTTGTAAGTAGGAACTTGGCAAGCGGTTTAACAAGTGACGTAGGTATCACGTGATTTCAGGTGTTACGTGCATACCTGCACATGGCCACGTCCCGGTGTGTCACTAGTAGTACACAGGTCAGGTATTGTAGGACAGGAAGGGGGAAGTTTGTTAGCTTCTACCAGGCTTCGGAAAGCACCTGGAAAGAGTAGAAACTGGGTAATAGACGAATCCATTTCTAGGGCCAGGCCGCTAAAGGGGTACATTTGTCGCTTTCGTTTCTTTAATGGACCAAGTCCCCCGGCATGTTATCCGCGGCCGTCTATTTACCAAGGCCGGTGTCTACTCTTTCCAGCCGCTTCTGGAGCCTCTTCGAAAGGTCTGGTGAAGGCTATCGCTTGCGTATGTGACCGTTCGTGCGACCAAGAGAGATTTTCCGTGACCTAGAATGAGTTTGCGGTGTGGACGTGTTCCTGCGCACGACAGGCCACACCTGTCTAATTACCCCCAAATCCGGCTGATCGCAAAGGTGATTCATATAAACACTCCCTCAAACGGACTGAGAACGACCGGATGTTAATCATGTTTTAGACGGGTTTATTGAAAAGAACTCTCTTCTGTCCATATCAGAGTACCAGAGACAGAGAGCTGACTTAGCCCGTACCCCCTCTTGCAGAACATAAGGGAACTGCAATGTGGGCGCGCACATACAGAAACACACAGACACACACACACACACAGACACACACACACACACACACACACACACACACACAGACACACACACACACACACACAGAGGCGCACAGAGAGAGAGAGAGAAAGAGAGAGGGGACAAAACTAATTCTTCAGTCTTCATTTCCTCAAAGTTGACACCAAATAATTGCTTTAAGTCAAGTTACAGTCTACAAAATCTGGCAAAGTTTAATGGTGCATGCTTTACATAACCTTGACCTACAGGTGGATATACTGTGGTGCAACATACATGTACAACATTGCAATACGTTCTCTACTCGCATGGTGGCGACAAACAAGCATGCCGAATTCCGCGAGTTATTGCCCTGCCGCGTGACCCTAGAAGAAGTCATCTGCATGAATTAGAGACGCTTTGTCGCCCCGCTAGGCGGGACCATCCATGCAGGGCGCGGCGCGGGGAGTCAGTAGGTGTTTACCAACGCCTCTCCCCGGGTAAACACAACGGGACAACGCGGTGTTTGCTCGAGCCACAAAAGGCAGGGCTGGATCTCCGAGATGAGAGTAGGAAGGCACAGTGCCAGGTGAGCACTCAGACGTTACCTGTCGTTAGGCTCGCGTTTACCTGTCCGTGCTCGTCCAGGTGTGACTGGTGTTACGGTGTCACCGTTACACACAGGTAACTGGTACGGTCTCCGGACCCCCCTCCCCACCCTACGGACTTCGGAAAAGACATTCGCGCCTACAAACAACAGACGACGGAGGCACACCTGTTATCTAAGTGTTCTGTAAGGTGAGTGTTTTCCGTCTTGCTAAAGTTCTGCTTCAGTCTGAAGGTAGTTGTGTAGTTTTGTCTGGATCTGTGGCCAGCTGTGCGGTATGTTTGTGTGCACGAGAGGTGCCAGGACCTCGTGTTTTGGGGGGAATTCTTGTTATGAAGGCTGTCAGCCCGTTTCCGCCAGGTAGGGTATATTTAAAGCGTCCATTTGCGTCCCGATATTTGTTCTTTCAGTCCAAAGGTCCTACATTTCTAGATCAGTGTCGCACTGGTTGGTGTGTACTAAAGTTTGAACGACAGACGTCATGTTTACAAAGCTAAATCGCTTACACGACTTGTACGTCCTTGGTTGAGGCTCGTCTCAAAAATCTGCCAGGTGTTTGGTAGTGTTTGTGTGACTGTAACGCGAAAATATACTGCATTCTCTTGTAGTACTGATCAAAAGAGGTGTAGAAAAACAACCCACAGAGGAAAATATTTGTCTTTCGCGTTCTGCTTTTTACTACGCTACACTAGCCTCTACCAGGCACCGCGGATCGCTGGAAAAATGGTAAAAATCGGCCGAAATAAGGAGTTAGCCGGCCAGAGAAGATTCAATTTGGGTCTCAAATTGGATCTTCTCTGGTCGGCTAACTCCCCTGGTATACTATCGCTTTATTTCGGCCGATTTCTACTCTTTTTCCAGCGATTCGCGGTGCCTGGTAGCTAGAGGCTACGCTACACTACCTCGCGTCACCTCTGCGTGTCAATATTTCATGGGAGACGACCAAAATATCTCCTGGCGTCACATGTTTGCTTTCCGGACGTTTATGATGCACTTGAATGTGATTTACAAGAAGGCATTCACGGGTTGGTATTTGTGTATATAATACAGGGAAGGAGCCTCCATAGCATGCCAAAAAACTGGGGGTTTTGGGGGTCTTCATAGTCTTTGGGAGTTTTATGTGTTATTTTCTGATTGCATATAGACAACATAGCCGGCCTGGTTGAATTATTAGAACTGGGCTAATCAGAAAACCCCCAAACCCCCACTTCTATGCTACGGAGGTTGGACGATTTGCGTGTTTCCGCCCATACAACAAGCTTCGTGAAGAAAATATTTCTGTAACGCTAAAAGTCTACCAGGCGTGAAGGTTTCACTGAAAGGTTTCCATGCGTCGTGTACACACACTTGTGGATGGGGGAGGGTGTTGATGTGTACAGGTTTCCTTTCTGTCCGTACCACTGCGCCACTGGACCATAACCACCATAACCAACACCTGGCCTTGACGGCTTGTTCACAGTTTTACACACTGCCGGACGTCGTGTTTTGTACCCTCCATAGCATGCCAAAAACTGGGGGTTTGGGGGTCTTCAGGGTCTTTGGGAGTGCTATTTTCTGATTGCACATACAAGCCGTCTACTAGCTTTTAAAGGCTAGCCTCCGTAGCAGGCTTATAGAACTGGGGGTTTGGTGGTCTTCGGCTGTTTTCTGATTAGCCCAGTTAAAAAAACGGGAGTAATTCAACCAGGCTGGCTATGTTGTCTATGTGGCACAGCTTGTTCACAGTATTACACTCTGTCGGACGTCGTGTTTTGGTCCTCTTTTTCCGAGAATTTTTAAAACTCGAACCAGATTTTGGTGCACCTGCATGTAAGGCAATGCCAAATTGGCAAGAGAGCTGGCAGGACGACAGTGTCCAATACGCCACCCAAACTGTGGCTGGCGAGAAAAACATACAACCACAAAAAAAGAAAGCCTGATAAAAAAAACGACTAAAAGTAAAACACGTCCAAAATAATCCGAAGACCAAATCACTTCTTGGCTAGTAAAGAATTTTGTGTGTACCAAAAAATATCGTACCCTTACAGGCCCATGCACCGTTGTAGCAGTTACAATCGCATTCCTGTCAACAAAAATTCCTCCCCCAAAACGGCACGACGTCTCATTTTCCCAGCGTTTTTTCTTCCTTGTGTAATTTCCAAACAATGCCCCCTATTCTTTCCGGTCTAGTTGTTGCCATTCTTGTCGTAAGGAGATTATCCCACTCCGAAACAATCGCACCGTATGATACTTCCCTGTGGAGTTATATATTAACACCACGCTGTGAAAAAAGGACAATAGCACTAAAAAAGAAAGAATGATTAGAAATCGTGCATTACGAGATCAAATCATAATATGTAATTGATCATCCAATGCAATTTTAGGATGGGAAAACAAAAAAATTTTCTGGATCTGTCTGGTATTGACATTTACTTCCATTTCTTGGCACATTTTTGTAATCATTTCATACTTGAAGCTACGTGAGAAGTCTTTGTATCTTTAGGTACCCCACCAATAAATATATAGCTAGAACCAGCCTACGATGTTACTCGTACCTCCATGGATATACGTAACAAGCAACCGTTTTCTGTCAGTGACATCGCCTCACAGATATCGGTATACTATGGGATAGTATTGCTTCAAGTTCAACTTATTAATTACTGCGTTATAAGAATGACCATGAAATTTAGCCTCTGTAGCAGGCTTATAGAACTTACTGGGGTTTGGTGGTCTTCGGCTGTTTTCTGATAAGCCCAGTTCCAAAATACGGGGGTAATTCAACCAGGCCGGCTATGTTGTCTATATGCAATCAGAAAATAGCACATAAAAGCTCCCAAAGACCATGAAGACCCCCGAAACCCCAGTTTTTGGCATGCTATGGAGGCTAGAAATTGACTTTGAGTTTGACAAGTCACTTTTGCTACCCTCCAATTGCGCTGGATGCCTTTAAAAGGGCCAGTAAACGACTATGTTTACACTACAGACTTTATCTCAGACCGCTCAGTAATAATGAATGCCCGTCCGACATGTTCGGTTGAGCGCGTCACTAAAAGTGTCCCACTGTGTCCTTTCTAAGGTCTGTTACACCGGGCGCCAAACAACACGCCCCTCCGACAAAACAAGAAGATGGAAAGCTCTTTGGGGAAAATAAGCGGGAAAAGAAAAATGTGATATCTATAAATCTCACCTTGCTGACGTTTCAGTGTCATCAGACACCTTCCTCAGAGTTTCTGACTGGAGTTCACTGAGGAAGGTGTTAGACACCGAAACGTAAGCAAGGTGAGAGAAAGTACTGATTATGTAAAAGAAAATTCCAATATTCTACCAACCTGACGAAACTATTTTCGGAAATAAGAAGAGCATGTTTATCGGTTCTGAAAGCGTTGAATGTTTCCCATTTTTTCACGCACCTTAAAATGTATTTATTTACATACCTTCATGTACTAGTGACAGTATATTACAATGGCAACGTAGTCAACGTTTTTGTTGTATTTGACCATAGACTACTAAATACAATACATTTACGTTTAACTTCATTCATTTTAACTCATGGAGAAGATAGCATACCGTGGTTTATGATTCACCGTTATAAAATCTTAATGACCAGTCCTATAAAAATGTCAACAGATAAAAACGTATATATTGTACAATTTGGGACAAAAACAGAATACCTGTAGCACCTAGAAAGCGTGAAAGCGTCACAAAAGTCAAATATTTGTAGTCTCTACCAGACTAACTACGCTGGCTATATATATGAGAATATTTGCCAGGGGAGTTTGGCCGCCCTGTAGGTTTGACTGGCCGAGGGAAAGAAACTACTAGTACCTCCCCGCGGCCGGACTCCCCTGGCCAATTTTACTCTCTTTTTTGCCGAATTCTACGATCCGTATTCCCGTCGAAAGGCCTGGTGGAGGCTAAAATATTTGCCTCAAAATACCGAAATATTCTACTGTATGTATGTATGAAATATCCATAGCGTCTTACTCCTTATATGGTCATAAGGTTCTTCCATTTCAAGATGGCGGCCCTGTCATGTTTACATACATTAAGAGCGTAAACAACATGTAGTGTTTGTCACTGGATGGAACATAAGTCACCTTTAATGACCTTCTTTGTTCGATTTTATCGGAAAGTAAAATATTTCCTGTCTATTGAGTCAATACGTATACATTTTCGTGCAAACAAAAAGCCCAAGAAGTATACTTTCTACCAGAAAATAAATTACGAAATCACCGTTTTAGATTCCGACTCTCCCATCCATTCCACTAGCCTCCGTAGCAGGCTTATAGAACTGGGGGTTTGGTGGTCTTCGGCTGTTTTCTGATTAGCCCAGTTCCAAAAAACGGGGGTAATTCAACCAGGCCGGCTATGTTGCCTATATGCAATCAGAAAATAGCGCATAAAAGCTCCCTAAAAGGACCCTGACGACCCCCAAACCCCCAGTTTTGGGCATGCTGTGGAGGCTACCATTCCACTCTCTTGACTCAACAGGTGATCCAAGATGGCGGGTCCGCGCGGTTGTTTACTTGTACTCCGGCCAAGTGGCCTAGTTTCTCGACAGACATTAACAGCTCCTGTTACCCCCACAGTGGTCTAGTATTGCCCCCAAGTTAGCCATGTGTCAATCGCATTAGGACTAAAAGGTATAAAATCGAGAAATGACAAGACTTTCTCTCAACATCTTTGTAAGAATAAGGAACCAACATTGCAAGTAAAACATGGTCGGTTGTCGAAAGACGCTTATACTCCACAGAAAGCACAACACCGGCAAAGGTCAGTCTACTGTGCCTCAGTTATGTAAACATCACCGACTAGAATAGAATATCGTATCTTACATACCCGTCCAAAAGGCCCCATATACTGATATAGAATGAAAAGTACTAGTATTAAAGAGAAAATGATAAAAAACACAACAAATGAAAAACATATTTATCAGCTTTATCGTTTATGAATTTTCTGTTGCTATTTTACTAGCAGGAATATAGGAAATACGTATGGTGCAAAATTTTGTTGTACTAGTACGCAGTGCTTTCAGCAGATCCTGCGGTAATCGTGGTACTCTCCAAGCAGAGGGTTGGGCGTTGACTCATTTTTGGCGTGTTTTTACTATTAATTAGCCCTTTTTTATCGGGCTTTCTTTTTTGTACTGGCCTTTTTTTCTGTGCCAGCCCAACACAAAAAAAGCCTGTATGACACACCAATGATAATCCAAAGCACAAACCTCTGCTTGGAGAGTAGCAGTATAGCTGAGGTAACTATAGTATAGATGAAACCCCGTTAGTTGTCGTCTTGGATCCCGGCTGGAATGTAATAATTATCCGCTATTTTGTCTGCCTCCCAGGTTCAATCCAATTCCGTACCGGGGATAATGTAACCACGGATCGGTTTTCATGTGATTACAGTCTACACTAAGTGCGTTAGTATATCCCTACACAGACTAGATACAAGCAGTGGATATATGCTAGCCTCTACCAGGCTTGAGGGCACGGCTGGAATTATAGTAGAAATCGGCCCGAAATAGAGAGATAACACGCCGAGGGAGTTTAGCCATCCAGT